ATATATAAACCCTACCAACCTACACGTGGCAATCTCCTTGTCACTAATTCCACCATGGCCAGTGCCAACCATGCGCTATAACAAAGATGCCATGCAATTCGACAAAAGCCCTACACAATCAATCATAAATCACTTAAGAAAAACCAGAAATCTCCTAACCAACACTCCTATATGGGCTCAATTATGACTCCAAGGTCTAATTAATTGCTGATGATTTAGATCATTACCTTCTCGTTGAATATTTTCGAGTCTGTGTTGCGAAAGTCCATCTCATAATAACATTAATCTCAATTACTCTTCTTGGTTTGGTCAAAGCAGCTCTGTCACTTTTTTTTCTTTCTTTTACTTAAGATAAATAGATAACTTATGATATTGGATGGTCTAGTTTGATGAAATCTTGTGCTAGATTTTTTATCGTTTGATCATAATGTTTAGTTTTTTATTTTGTTGAATGAATTTAAATTAATATCTAAAATATTAATATAGTAATGGTGTACTACTCACTTACCAAAGGGGGTTGAATGTTTAAAGCCTCAAACGATACATCTACATGAGGCCAACCAGCTTACCTAGATGCTTAAGATTTTGTTCGTTTAATAGCAGGGTTCAAAAATTGAATCACTTACCATTTGTGGAGCAAATGGATTTAAATTATACTGACCAGTGCGTAGGATTTAGTTATGAATCAAGTGTAGAGGGTGATTTGGATAGATTCCACTATAGTTTGTACTAGCATTTTGCTTTAAGTTACATGGTTTAATTTGTACCGTTTTGCAAGCTTTTAATTGATGGTATCAAAATCCAGACTCTCTCCTAAACGGGAGAAGTTGTCCATGTTCATCCCATATGAAGCTCAGAAGAAAAATAGACAAAAAAAGTGAAAAGGATGAATGTATTTTGTTTTTAAAATTTTTTATCTACATATTTTTAAATATAAATGCTTTATCCATAAATATATAAATGTTATTTTAATTTTGATCCTAGTCCTTGTTCCTGTATGTTGAAATAGTGGCTCATGATTCTTAGTTAATTTTTTTAAATTTCTATTATTTCAAATCGTGTACATGATGCTCATACACGAACTCCAAACTTCTCACTTATATAATAATATACTAATCAAATTAGATTTCTTAAGAAAGACAACAATAGATTCTTAGTTGAATTACTAACGAATTACTATCAAGAGTTTTGTTACTATTTGAATAGTGGATAAATTAGTTGAGTTGCATGTCTTACACATAGACTCTTCGAATCATCAATTAATCGTGCATGAGATCAGTGCCAATTCATCATCCTCCTCCATTATTGTTCCCAAATGACTTAGCAGTATTTTATTTTGTATTCCTTTGATCTTCCAGACAGTTAAATGATTACCCAAAGTTTCTCCTCATTCTCAGCATGAGATATTTGATAGCAAGGAGTTAGAGAGCTCCAAACATGAACTTGGAATCTGAAGTGACAGATCCTGGCAGATCGAACTTGGGATCCGAACTCCTCATGCCGCCGACCTCTGCCACGATCGCCGCCCCTCCGGGGGCAGCCGACGTCCGGCAGGTCGGGCAGATTGGTTTCTGCAGCAGCCAGCAGTCCACGCATCGGGCATGGAAAGCATGCATGCATGCCGGCAGCAACCTGCAGACGTCGCCCACCTCCAAGCTCTCCAGGCACACGGCGCACTCGGCTCCGCATCCTACTTTGAAGTCGTAACGAGGGAGCCTCTCTAGGAGTTGCGGCGGCAGGCCGTCGCATGCATCGTCGGAAGGTCCGGCTGTGGCTCCGAAACCTAAGAAGCCTCTTCTGATCGCCCTCCGGACGATGCAGAATTGGATGAGCACCAATCCGCCGATGCCGAGTAACAGAGACGCTGCGGCGGCAAGAATGACGGCGTTCATTGTCCTTGTTGGTGATATCCTCGATCCCCGCCGCATAAAGCTATCGAAATCAGAAAGCTCTGCCGGATTTTATGGGTCGTAGGATAGCTTGAATGATTGCCATCGCCAGATTTGTCCATAACTCTTCCACCTACCACCCACCACCCACCACCCTCCGACGCTTACACTCTCGGCGTACGAGCTGAAGAGACCACACAGTTGTGGACTGCTAACCACAACCACCCAAAGAGGCTCTTAAAGATTTAATGCGCTGCCATGGTCGACAGGAATTTACTCGGCTACAGTCTATTTCTGTTGACGCATTTATTGATCAAGAAAGAGAATCATAAATGCCTTGGAATGCTATAAAGGGATTGGGATAATCAAGAAATTTTAGGATATAGAGGGATGTATACTAGAAACCGAGGATGTGAGCTCGAAAATGCAGACGAAATAATTGGATATCTAAAAATTATTTATATATTCCTCTTTGATTTCAATTGATAGGGATGATTTTATTTCATGTCAGCTCATCTATCGTTTTCATTGAGGTCAACACTTAAGTATGACTCTAAGTTATTAACCTCAAAATGATGTTGTAATTTGTTCTGATATGCTCCGTTAGTAATAATCGTCCTACCTTATCAATATCAAAGAATGATCAAACGGTTTACCTAATCTTATCTCGGGCCAGTCAGTAAGAAGGCCCTGAGATCATGTACAAAAGGGAACCCATCAGCTCTTGAAGAGCGAGGGGCTATCTTTCTCTCTCTCACTCTCTACACACTAAGTTAGTTATATAGCTTACACTATTGTCTTCTTCCCTTAGCTAACTTATATTAGGATCGTATCGATACTAAGAGGGGGAGGGGTGAATTAGTACTTTCATAAAAATCTTGGTTTGAAAATTTTCATTCGATGAAAACAAATAACGAAAGTATGCTTGACCTAGAGTAAGTATAATAAATAGTTAAATCAGAAAGCAATATCAATGAAGAGTAGAAAGTAAATACAAATCAATTTTATAGTGGTTCGGTCGTCAAGACCTACGTCCACTCTTAATTCCACTTCCATCGAGGCCACCGGCGTTCACTAACGATATTCTTTCAATAGGCAAAGATCAACTACCCTCTTTACAATTCTTTCTCCTTTTCACAGGTTTTAGGAGAGAACCTTTATAAGCCTCACACCTCTCTTAGAATAAGCTCAAAACTTTGAAGAGGAGAAGGGGCACACTTAGCACTTTTTAAGACTTTACAACTTAGAATTATAAGGTTTTTTATTCACTTTTCTTGATATCTTAAGCAGAAAAGAGTGGGGTATTTATAGGCCCCAAATGACTTTAAAAATGGAATAAAAAAATGTCTCGACTCGGGTTTCCAGGGTCCTGACGATACCATCGCTTGTGCTGGGAGGTATCATCACCTATAGTATTAACTATTAGCGGTACCACTACTTAGTTTGGGCGGTACTACAGCTTGGCAAAATGGGAGACCATGTACTAGCGGTACTATCGCTAGTCTAAGTGGTACCATCGCTTGACACTAGCGGTACCACCACTTGACACTAGCAGTACCACCGTCGTGTCACGGATAAAGTTCTAAACAGGATGTTTGATGTAATACTTATGTATGTTGTTGAATCTCGTATTTTGATGATGAAACTCCTTGATATATGTTTATGATTTAATATGCGTTTTAA